ATATGATTAAATATGATCATCAGGCTTTTGAGGAACATTTATTTGTTCATCTCTCAATCATCATTGCATTTATATGATAAAAAAAACTATAATAGAAACTACAAAGCTTTGATCACACAAGCATTTAAATATCTTAAGACATTATAGTGAGATACATTATAACTGATATTTGAGCCATAAAAGCCTGATGGTATAAAAAAAAAAGATTTAGATTTTTTTAAGATTCAGGTTTGATAAACTATATTTTTTATTTGTAAGGATTTACAGGGTTGATTAAACATTAAATTGACAGCTCTAATATCAAGCAATCAATATGTATGTGTGTGTGTGTGTGTGTGTGTGTGTGTATGTGTGTGTGTGTGTGTGTATGGGTCGGGAAGAGGGAACAAATTAGTATAACATGGCCATGATTTACCTAAAACAAGGGAATAAAATAATGTGGCCACAATTGAATGAATTAAGTTATGGGAATGAATTATAAAAAAAATTTAATAATAATAATAATAATAATAATAATAATAATAATAATAAATCAAGCTACATTTCCAACATATTAAGCCACCAAAACAAAATTAGGACACAACCCCATTTTCCAAAACCCCACCATGTGAAAAGCAAGAAAACGACCAGGATATCTAAAATAAGTGTATCAAAAGTTTCAAATTAAATCAAATGTGTAACAAGATCACCAGACAAGTCATTTTCCTGCAGTGGAGAGGCCAAAGAAAAAAAAGGGGAAAGAACAGAAAGATCTTGGCTTCTACAGAGCCTAAAGGCAGTGAGGATTCGTCTTGTTCTGGTCCAGGGGAAAAGGATTATGTTATCTATTTATAGTGCTCATTCACAAGGACAGAGGCAGATAGTGAGCGAGATAATGACATTACTGCTCCATTTAATCTCCCACAGTCATGTGACCAGCAGTACTGACGGGTATTTTGTATCTTGGCCAGCGACGAGTAAGAATGTTAAGTGTTTTTCAGTGTCGCGGTGCAAGAGTGACATTGTCTTGTCTTCTCTCACCTTAAAGTCCACCGCAAGAGCCAATATTCTTGCTTCTTCAACTACAAAAGCTCATGTAAATCAAGTTTTAAAAGCCTCTGGTTAAACATCAAGTAAACAGTATACCTATACCACACAGTGCTTCTTGCTAGCTTTTGTTCTAGCCACATGCCCATGAAATGCATTTAAAGAGTTCACAAAATCAAAATGTTGTTGCCTTTATCCCATGTCAATCTGCCGTAAACTAAAAAGCTGTGTGTAAAACTAGACTATACATGGCAGTCTTCTAGTACTGCTCAGTTGTGTGACTTCTGGGTTCTTCAGGCACCTGTAAAAGAGCTGATGTGATTTAGCACTTTGGAGTAAGGCTGAAAATGATGACAAACATAAAATAAAACAAATTCAAGTATAAAGTCAAATGCATGATCAAGACCCAGTCTCAGCACCGACACAGCACATCCTGGTTCTTTTTGAAAAGATATGCAAATAAAAATCATGAAATATTTGTAAAATAATCTTAAAATCCATCTTGGAAAATTTCAAAATATGTATGTATATAAAATATTAAATTAAACTAAATGATAGATTCCCACTTATGCATTAAGAATTTTGCCCATGACTATTATCTTTATTATCGTGGCCACAATTGAACTGGATCAAAAAGAGAGAACAAATTAGTATAACATGGCCATGATTTACCTAAAACAAGGGAATAAAATAATGTGGCCACAATTGAATGAATTAAGTTATGGGAATGAATTATAAAAAAAATTTAATAATAATAATAATAATAATAAATCAAGCTACATTTCCAACATATTAAGCCACCAAAACAAAATTAGGACACAACCCCATTTTCCAAAACCCCACCATGTGAAAAGCAAGAAAACGACCAGGATATCTAAAATAAGTGTATCAAAAGTTTCAAATTAAATCAAATGTGTAACAAGATCACCAGACAAGTCATTTTCCTGCAGTGGAGAGGCCAAAGAAAAAAAAGGGGAAAGAACAGAAAGATCTTGGCTTCTACAGAGCCTAAAGGCAGTGAGGATTCGTCTTGTTCTGGTCCAGGGGAAAAGGATTATGTTATCTATTTATAGTGCTCATTCACAAGGACAGAGGCAGATAGTGAGCGAGATAATGACATTACTGCTCCATTTAATCTCCCACAGTCATGTGACCAGCAGTACTGACGGGTATTTTGTATCTTGGCCAGCGACGAGTAAGAATGTTAAGTGTTTTTCAGTGTCATGGTGCAAGAGTGACAATGTCTTGTCTTCTCTCACCACCGTAAGAGCCAATATTCATGTTTCTTTCACTACAAAAACTCATGCAATTCATTGCGTTTTAAGTCTCTGGTTAAACATCAAGTTAACCATATACCTATATCACATTGTGCTTCTTGCTAAATTTTGTTCTAGCCCCATGCCCATGAAATGCATTTAAAGAGCCCATAAAATCAAAATGTTGTTGCTTTTAACCCATGGTAATCTGAAGTAAACTAAAAATCTAAACTAGAGTATAGATGGCATTCCTCTAGTACTGCTCAGTTGTGTCACTTCTGGGTTCTTCAGGCAGCTGTGAAAGAGCTCATGTGAGTTAACACTTTGAAGTTAAGCTGAAAATGATGACAAATATCAAATAAATACAAAGTATTTTATATTACAAATGCACGACCAAGACCCAATCTCAGCACATCCTAGTTCTTTGTGAAAGGATATGCAAATAAAAATGAGATATTTGTAAAATACATCTTAAAATTCATTTTTAAGTAGAATCTTTCAGTTGTTCAGTTAAATATTATTACTTACTGTATGCCCTAAAAATGTGTATCTAAGACAGCATATGCCTTTTGTTACTTCTATTTGCCACATTTCTCAGGCTTTAGAAACATGTTAAATGTTAACCAATCTCTACTCTATAACCATCTAGATATATTAAATTAAAACTGGTTGCATCAATGGTTACAGAAAGAATGTATGTGTATATCTTTATTACAACCCATACAGTATGCATTTTTAATAAATACACATTCATATTAAATCTATATTCTTGGTAATTTTCAAAATATATTTATATGAACAATAGAAATGACAGATTCCCACTCATGCATTAAGAATTTTTCCCATGACTTAACTATTTTCTTCATTATCATGGCCATGCTTTAACGGAATTAAAAAGAGGGAACAAATTAGTATAAAATGGCCATGATGTACCTAAAACAAGGGGATAACTTAATCAAACGTGGCCACAATTTAATGAATTATATCAAGACCACGATATCATTTTTTTTAATGTGCATTTTATGGGTCGCAGATCCAGCGGTTTTATAAAAGTCTCCCTGCGACCGAGGCACAGTTGTGCGAGTCAGAGCGCTAGTCGCTGTACTGGCTGTGGTGCATCTCACCTGGTTTAAATTTGCAGCGGCTTTGGCCACGCGGCTCTTATGGTGTAACATTAACTCTCCTTCCTGTTCCATATGAAAATTTAAGCGTGATCCCAGAGGAGCAGTAAAAGGTTGCACGCTGGCCAAACTGAGCTGCTGGTCGCGCACACTCGTGGTAGATCATTTAGACCAAACCACAGTCAGCCGGCATCATCAGGAGCGCCAATGGACTCGGCTCTTTGGTAACTAAATTTGAGACCGATAGGAAAAACGATAGGCACTGTTTATTATCTTGCCACAGTTTTAAACAAATGGGACGTTTTTGGTTGGAGAATCAAAAATGGCTGTGCAAACTATGATTCAGACTGTATTTTTTGAAGTACGGCTGGAGGATGAGTCAAGCGTGACTGGTTTGCGTCACGAGGGACATGTGTGTCTTGCATTACTGCTGTTATTTAATGGACAGGTTGAACTCTGAGGTTGCTCGATTCTGGGCAGATGTGGAGTGGATCCAGCTTTCGCACGTTTTCACGGCTTCTGCTTTTTTACAATGGCAATCATGGCCGACGATGTGAAGTAGAGATACGAGATGCTGCCATTGCATCATAGGGCTGCACAATTAACAATCAAGTTTACGATTATGGCTGCCACAGGTAATTATTATTGTAAATATTATTATTTTTAAATGTCAGCAAATAACAAAAACAAACGTTAATGTATATGCGCAAATTATTTCCATATCACGTGACGGAAAATATACTGAAACAGTTAAATATAAATGTCTGTCATTTAGAAGGGGCGGAAACTATTAGCTATTAAACGATTAATGGCATATACATTTATATTCAATTTAAAATTTTAATTAAATGTATGTATGTTTAATTTATGGTATATAACATGTAATAAACACAATCAAGTCATGGTGCATTAAAGCACATTTTTAAGTATATTCTCCAAATTTTCCAGAATATGCGTAATAACTCGCAATTGGGGAGGCTAACAACTTGATAATAATAAACTTGAAAATACCAACTCAACTTTCTTAATTTAAAGAGTGCATTTCCTCAGTCTTGCACATTCTGTGTCTGAGAGCATGCATGCGTGGCTTCCGCAACATATATGCTATTATTATTGTCATTATGGCTAATTTTTAATCATGATCAATTATTAAATTATATAATAGATGCAATTAATTTTTTTATATTATTGGATCAATGCATGTTTTTTTATATGCTTTTATATCAACTAATGGCCAGCTTACCTTCTATCTGTATTGGCTTCAGTTATGTTACTATGACTGATGTCAGTTTTAAGATTAGTTGGCCTGTGCAGTTTGACCGTTAATTTAATTAATTTATTAGTTAGGTCACAAAGTGAACAACAATGCTTAAACATCAGAAATAATGCATTTTATTAACAAGATGAAAACTTACACTGTCATTTTGAGAGGATGAAACCCTCATGAAGAGGTTTGTTTTGCGTAAAGATGCAAAAAAAAAATTCACTGAGGAATAAGATGATGGCGTTGCCTTTCCTCTATGGGTTAAAAACAATAAACGCTTGCCATCTTCATAATTAAACATGTTCATGAAGAGGTTTGTTTTGCGTAAAGATGCAAAAAAAAAATTTCACTGAGGAATAAGATGATGGCGTTGCCTTTCCTCTATGGGTTAAAAACAATAAACGCTTGCCATCTTCATAAGCATCTTCATTATTAGTAGACAGAAATGAATGTCTTTTCAATAAAGAGTATGCAGATATCTCCCACACACAGTGAATATGATTCTTCTCAGCTAGAAATGCGTTCCCCTCTTTTTCAATGGCAGGAGTCACTCCAGACGGGCAGTCTCACCTCCTGGCCTTCTTCTCTTTCATGAGTTTTTTGCTCTCCTCTCGTCTCCTCTTGTTGACGGGGTTGCGTGGATCATAGATCTCAAACGTGTCTTCGTCCTGCATATTGGCATCTTTTACCTTTCTGGTTTGTTCATCAAAGTGCAGAACATGGGCCATCCTAAATCACAAGGGGAAATGGAGTTCAGTTCAAAAGAACAGCAAAGCGCAGCTCATGGGCCACTAAATCATCAAAATCAGTGTTACAAGTGCTGGGAATCTCCCGGTGGAACAGATCAGAGCAGACTTCCAACTTGGATGAGTCCGCAAACAATCTGTTTCAAAGCATCTTTAAAGAAATAACTCATACAAAAAATTAAAAAATCTGTCATTTACTCCCACTGTGAGTGGTGTCTAAACTAAAAAATAAAATATAAAACATTAATAAAAAAGTTAATATTTTAAGATAAATTAAATAAATAGTATAAATTATAATAATTTATTAGCAGTAGTAGTATTGTTGTTGATATACTTATTTTTATTATAGTTTGTACAATAACAATTATTATTATTAATGGGTTTGGAACGACATGAGGGTGAGTAAATGATGACAGAATTTTAAATTCTGGGTTAACTATCCCTTTAACTTTAATATAGCATTGGCGGAACATCTTTTGTCACAATCGGATCCACGCATGAAATTTCTAAAATGTTAACTTTTCTTGACAGTGACTGTGATTGAGCTGACCAATGACTGATTGATTGGTTTGGCAAAAAAATTTAAAAAATTGCACAGACATCTTTCAACAAATTAACTGACTGAATATCTCATTACATAATTTGAGACAAACCTATTCAGCACAGCAGCAAACCAGGTACTTGCAATTTTTGTATGCATGTGACTAGGGTCTGATCTTCAGCTTCAGCCTGTACAGCGATGCCCCATGTAGATGGTCTCAATAATACAGTACAGATGCTCATCTATATTGCATTTCTTCAGTAATGCTTTTTCTCTCTCTCCTCAAGGCAGGGCTGGAGGTGATTGGCAGGCAGAATCACAATCCACTGAGTATTCCTGAGTGCCAGCATCAGAAAGAATAGCTCACAGCTGGCTAAAGTCGCATCCTGAGGACTCCTGAAGACTGCAGCCCAATCCAAGACAGAGTTAACACAACGCCAACAGGACACAGAACTTCAGTTCTGTCATATCGGAGTAGTTCTACTAACAGCTTCTGTGATTTCAGAAGTCCACACTAAGATATTTAAAGAGAAATTACTCCAATGTTGTTCCAAACCCATCCATTTTTTTCTTGGTATTCACAATCACAGTCCCCATTAACTTTCACCATACAGACAAAGACAGTTGAATCATTCTTCAAAATATCTTCTTTTGTGTTCCACAGAAGTCAGTCAGTCATACAAGTTTGGAATGATGTGAGTAAATGATGAATGGATTTTCATTCTGTTTGAGGTCATATTTAGGGCATTGTTTTTGGAGGACGACTAGGATGTGTGCATATCCACACATCTCACCTCTGCTCTGCTGACCTACATTTCATACTGAAATGACGGCTACAGAAAATCAAGACATGGAGTCAGAAAATCAGTCTGAATCAAGACATGGAGAGAACCTCAAAGAAACGTCAGGAAGGGTGAAACAGGTCATTGTTATACATCACGGACACGGCTGGATGGCTCTCTGGGGTCTCATCTAAACCAAAGAAAGATGCTAAAGGAACTGACATTCCACACCTGTTGGAGCTATTCTGGTGAAGGTCAGAATTTCTGGAACGACTCTATCCTTCACAAATCCAAATCTGCGGTGCAAAGCCCAGGGCTGGTTTGAAAGAACAAGACGTGACGGGACGCTTCAATAATTCAACGACTCCCAGCTGTCATTCAATATGGTGCAAGTTTTGGTGGTTTCGCAGAAGTGTGTCAGGAAGTAACTGTAGGAGCTGAACATAGATTTTTAAATTGAGCCCGTTGTCCGAGTCAAGATGAATGCATGAAGGAACCAAGAATGGAAGTGGCCTGCTCTCTAAAATTATGAGCCCTCTCATTGGTAAGTAATCCGCCACGCTGCTATTTTTGAGCCATCCCAGAACCCCTGGATTCAGCCAAATAGACACATAAAGAGTCTGTGAGTGCATGCAAGCCCATTTTTAAGTGTTCGGCCGAGTGTGTGCATGCTTGCGTCCATTTGAAGTCCGTAGGAGATGTGACAGCTCATCTAGAATGTCATGGCTATACTCTGGCAGACCCGCAGGACTCCCGTCGCGTAAGGCAGCTGGCTCTGATAATTTGTCTAGCAGTCTCGGTGATGACAGCCCGCCGGAGTCCTTGCCTAGAGTTATGGCTTGCGCAAAAATCCCACCTTTTGATTGGGGCTCTTATCAGGGAGGGACTCCCGCCATGATGCCGAGGCCCACGGAAGCCTCTTCCTGAATTTATTTTTCTTTCGCTTTTGCAAAAGAGGGGGAAGCGGTAGCGGAGGCCTGGGCGAAAAGGGGTTTTTGTAGAGGCAGACACAGATGGAATAGTTTACAATCTGGCCCAGACTTGACTTCCAGTGTCTGACCTGTTGTAACCCATGTTCCGTTTGTGGGGTGCAACAGGCGTTCAGAAAGTGGTATAGACTTCACACTGCTGTTTTTCTAGCACTGGGGGCCTCCCGTCTCTCCTCCTCTTCGGAGTCAGGCCTAAAACGCCCCAGCATCGTGGGGGTCCTTAGACAGTAATGACAGTCCATCCTGAAGATGGAGTAACTGATAGGAAACACGTAGGAACCCGGGCTCAGACAGCCCCCCCCCCCCATTTAGATAAAGACTCAAGGTCTTTGATGAAAAGTGAATACGAGAGAAAAACACACCGTGTCCATTCATTTCCTTGTGGTGGCTTGCGGCGTGAAGAGGGAGGATGACGGTCTGACAGATCTTCGCTTTATCCTCAGCACGTCACCGCTGCGGCTGCGGCACGGACTCGCACACCATTAATACTGATAATTAATCAAGCAGAAATACATTACTCTCTGCAGAGCGCCTGACCGCATTCTTTACATTTGATTGTGATTTATGGTTTTCCTGCGAAAGCGCAAAATGACTGTAGCGGACGTCTACCAAACGGTTAAGCAAAGTTTCTGCCGCATCCAAGTCACTTCAAACGCTTCCAATGGAAAACTACCCTAGGTTTTCAATGAACTGTATATATGGATAGGGTATACGTTAGTGTGGGACCCAAAAAAGCAAACCACTGAAGCTATACATTTTAACTGAGACCGAAAAAACAGAATGATTTACCAGTCTGCTTCCCGTAATCCTCGGAAAAACTAGAAGTGCCGTGTGACGCATTGGTCATGGCAGGGCTTTAGAAATGAAGCGTATCTATGAATCACAGTAATGTCCAATCACGTTGAGCGTTCATTAAATAGAAAAACACATCTTTCAAACTGAAAGCCATAAATGTGGATGAGCAAAATCAGTTTTTAAGTACCTACCGCCATCTCAGAGGCCGTACTTACAAACGCATGCATCTTCATCACATATGCTAGGAAGATTATGGAGAAAACAGAATCAAACTGAAACATTTCTAATTGATATTCTATTTGTGTACTTAAGCGCACAATCAGGGCCATAACTTTGTGCCTCACATACAGCATTAAGATTGATGCTCCCTGGAGCCAGATTCATTTTGCAGCATCATAAATGTTATCCTGGCCAAAGAACTCAGCTGTCAATAACACCCTCGGCCCGACATGGAAACAGTCCCATCAGATCAGGACCAAAAAAAAAAGAAAATCTAAGCTGTGTTTAGTCTTTTAGTGCAAAAATAAAACCGAACAGACTTAATATTTGCACAGTGAGTGGTGTGTGTGTTTTAGTGATCTAGTACCGCTGTGACATGGTAATTATTTCATTTCTGTCTTCATAATCTCGTAGTACGCTGTTGGATTGGAATGTCTCCAGTGACATACAGACAGATGAGGCAGTTGTTACAGCTCATGACATACAACAATGTCTGACACAATGCCTAGTAGTGAGTGATATTGTGAAAACAATCAGTAGGGAAGAGTGGGGTAAGATGTGCCTTTTTACTAATACCTGATTGTATTTACAGATTTCTGCCATCAACTGAAATTACAAGTGTTGATAACTCAGCCATAAAATAAAAATATGACTTCTCAATAAAAAAATAAAAATAAAATAAAAATCTGAACATTTATATGAAAAACAGCAATAACAGCAATAAAACAATCCCAAAAAAAGTAACATTTTTCTGCACATTATTTGCATTTTCATAAACTATCCAGAAAAAAAGGTTTAATAAAAAAATAAATAATAATCATTAGAATGTTTTTGTAGTCACTGGCACAGGAACCATTTAGGAAAAATATTTTAATAATTAATGGCTAAAAATATAGCAAAAAAAAGACATGATTTAAGCACTGAACATTCACACGTCATATATATATTTTTGGCCCAGGAAATGTTTGCAACGACAAAATTAATTTTAGCTGTCATGTCACAGGCAGCTGGATGTGATGGGATCTTACTAAATATATAGTTGCATGTAAAAAATTGTTTAATGAATATTACATATTGTTTAATGAATTAAGGGGTGTGACACACCCCACTCTTCAAGTCAAACTAGGACATATCTGACAGAATAGACAGAAGTCATTCATTTTCACAGTTGGCGATCTGAGGAGACATGGGTGACCGGTAGTGGTGCAGGCAGTTAGTGCTGGTTTGGTGTTGGTCTAGCTAGATCCTGTTGACCATCACAACTTGACAGACCAAAACCTGGTCTTCAAAGTGAAGCGAGTTGACCAGCTCGCTAGTTATGCTGATTAAAATGCCTGGTATGGACACCAGCATGCCTATATCCAAAGCATATGCTCGTGTTATGGAAAATTCCAACAATGGTTTATCACCGGGTGCTGGTTCTGCTGGCACTCGTAATGAGCATCTGTTAAAAAAACCGCACACGTCTGACTGCAGGTTGACGTGTCCTGTCTGGCGTACGGTGAGTGAGACACGCTCCATCTGGGCACTCCGTCTGCTGAAGCAGTTATTTACTCAGTTAAGTCAGCTGAGAAAACTACTTCTCCACAAGTGGCTATTGCAGCGCAGCAAAAACAAACACTGCATACTGTTCTAATGGTGTCAGCGCGCTGCAGAGCCAAACGCATTACTTGGCTGAAGAGCGAGGTGGCTCAGGCACACTTAAAGCAAGCAGCTGTATGAAAGTTTCGCTATGTTAGTCCAAATAAATAGCTCTGCTACCTTAATGCGAAACAGTAGCTGTGAATTGGGACAACCAATGAGGCACAGGTTTTTGAGAATGCATTTGATCACAGACAACTGCAAGTCCATTAGTGCATTAAACCTCTGTAGGAATGGAGAAGCGAGAAAAAGCAACTCACCAGCCCTTATCGTCATCCTCGCCAAGTTCCTCGACGTCTTCCTCTGGAACACTAGGAGTCTCCGAAATCACAGATGATAGTTTGGATTTGAAGCATTCCAAAAGGGCGAGTGTCTTTAAAGGCAAGAGAAAGTGTGTTATTTTGACTTTGGGTGTTTTTGAATTAAAAAAAAGGCTCTGCGCTTATTCAAAGGGACAGTTCATGTAGAAAATCCTGTCATCACCCTCATTTGATTCCAAACCTGTATGACTTCCATTCTTCTATTCAATAGGAAGGTCGAGTGACCGACATAAATCTTTTTTGTGATGATGTAAGTTTGACTAGTGTGCAGGATTTATATTTTTCTAGTTTATATTGGACTTTTGTCCTACGCACCTATGTATGATTAATGTGTGAGGCACTATATTTTGTATTGGGTTCTGTGGAAGGAAAATCAGTTTTCCAAGCACTGAAAGTCAATGGGGTCCAGTGTTGTTTGGGACTCTGTAAGGACAAAAACAGCTGAAACAGTCTGTCATTCACTGAAAATGTTGGCATGCCCTCCAGCACATTCAAGTAGTGACATTTGATTTATTCTTGAGTCAAATCTTTGCTATGAATAATTCAATTGACTTTACTACAGATAATTGACTAACAGCCTGCGGACAGACTCAGGAAAGGAATTGTAGAATACAGTATGGTGGATGCTTTTAGAAAAGGGAATGGTTTAAATCTGTAATTTCAGTATTTACAATACCCAATATAACCTAATACAAAGTCTTGTGCTTTATGTTTTGTTAAACTGCATTTAAAGTAATTTAGCATTAATATTGCATTTTCAATATATGATGAATAAAGTTTCACTCTGTCACACAAAGTATGACTTTAGATTTTGAAGTTGCAATAAAGCACATTAGTGGCCACAACAGTCTTCATACAATCACCTGTGTTTCACAGAAGAAAGTAAGTCAAAAAGGTTTGAATTTGAGTAAATGATGGCAGCATTCTCATTCTTGGGTAAACGTGTCATTTAGTTCAATTCAATTCAATTCAAATGTATCTGTATAGCACTTTTCACAATGCACATTGTTTCAAAGCTGTTTTACAGAAAATGCATGTGTCTACATTACAAAGCAGAAGTGAATGTGTCCAAGTAATGTTCATTTCACAAATGAACAGTTCAAGACAGTTCCATTATAAGAGCAGGAGAAAATCTTAGTGTCTTGAAGCTACGACTTACCTGAGCCTCTCGGCCAGAGCCTTTCTTCAGTTTCTGCTTCCTTTTGTCTTCATACTTCTTCCTGCTCTCCAGGTACTCTGTCACTGCCTCACTGGTCGGCTTACTGTCACCTTTGAGAGAAAAGAAGAGCGATTACAATCTAGATAAGAGAAATTAACTTCCCTTCAGGGATCAATCTGACTATATACAGTGGGTACGGAAAGTATTCAGACCCCCTTAAATTTTTCACTCTTTGTTATATTGCAGCCATTTGCTAAAATCATTTAAGTTAATTTTTTTCCTCATTAATGTACACACAGCACCCCATATTGACAGAAAAACACAGAATTGTTGACATTTTTGCAGATTTATTAAAAAAGAAAAACTGAAATATCACATGGTCCTAAGTATTCAGACCCTTTGCTCAGTATATAGTAGAAGCACCCTTTTGATCTAATAAAGCCATGAGTCTTTTTGGGAAAGATACAACAAGTTTTTCACACCTGGATTTAGGGATCCTCTGCCATTCCTCCTTGCAGATCCTCTCCAGTTCTGTCAGGTTGGATGGTAAACGTTGGTGGACAGCCATTTTTAGGTCTCTCCAGAGATGCTCAATTGGGTTTAAGTCAGGGCTCTGGCTGGGCCATTCAAGAACAGTCACAGAGTTGTTGTGAAGCCACTCCTTTATTTGCTTTATAGTGGAGAGAGTGGAAAAAGATGTGTGAGTGTGAATATTTAATAAATATTCAATAATAAATATTCAGAAATGGCCAATCATATACATTTTCCTGTAACTGCATTTTAATGCAAGGTGTAAAACTACAAGTTAGCAAACTGCCAATGTATTAATCAACGTAAAATGCTTGGCTGAATATTTTTTATTTTCTTTTAAATTTTTTAAATTGTAGCTGAATATTTCAATGGTTTAATAAATTTTAGACATTTTTCTGTCTGGTTTAAGAAAACCAGAAAAACAATAAAATAAAAAACTGGAATGAGACTGGAATGTTTAAACTCTTACAATGTTTAAAGAAATGACAACAAACCTTGAACAACAGCTCATCATGTGATGTACAGACAATGCTGAAACATAGTATTATCCAATGAAATGAGTTTCCTACTTCAAATGCTTACATTAAAAAGCCCTGAACCCTGCAAGAGGATAAATATGATAAAATGGTCATATAAAATTCTCTCCTAATCATTCGCAACAATTTGAAAGGTGCATAAAAAATAACGTGTATTCTACAAATCCCATGCTAGAATGGCAGGAATTGGAAAAGTCAATAACATCAAGGCTGGACTGTTGACACTGGTGTCTACAGGCATTAATGTGCCACTGCAAATTCCCCAGCTCAGACGGCGGACGCTGATGTCACAGATCGCCCAGCGGGCACAGTGCTTCTTTTGACCACACCTGCCCTCACGGCAACTATGACTGAATGCTTCTCCACAACAAGCTCAAGGGGAACAAATTGCATCAGACGGAGCCTCAAGCATCTGGGTGATTTATTTCATGTTAGCGCTGTCATGTAACAAAAAATCTTTTTGCTCTCACAAATGGAACACTTGTTTATTCTTCGTATTTATGGTGCACTGAAAAACGCATTGGAGAAAGGCTGGAAATTTGTTTTTCAGCAACCGAGAGAGCATGCCATGCGTTCGTCTGAGAGCCACTGACTGGGTTTGAAAATGTTTAGTCTGTGGCATGAGCTAATAGAAAACTAGAAAGACAGAAAGAAAGTAATGAGCCAGAGACTATTAAAACACATTGACTGTGTAGAAAACTGAACACTCTAACTCTTTTCAAATCTATAAAACAAGGGCTGCCAATATGAGCTGAAAGCATGTTTAGCATGGCCATAGTCCAGACAGTGAAAGATAAAGCTTTGATAGGACTGAAATAAACATGTATTAAAACAAAGTACAAGAACTTCTACATTCTTTGAGTAGTTTGTATATGCTGTGCATACATGGCAATAAATCAAAAATGAATATTGCTGCAAAAGTTTCTTTAAAGGACTATTATATTATATTGTATTGTATTGTATTGTATTGTATTGTATTGTATTGTATTGTATTGTATTGTATTTTATACACTTGTATTGTATTGTATTGTATTGTATTGTATTGTATTGTATTGTATTGTATTGTATACACTACCACTCAAAAGTTTGGGGTCAGTAAGATTGTTTTCTGAAAAAAATTAAAACTTTTATTCAGCAAGAATGTATTAAATGGATCAAAAGTGACCGTATTTCTAATGCTATATATGATTTCCATTTCAAATAAACACTGCTTTTTTAACTTTATATTCATGAAAGATTCATGAAAAAATAATTATAAGTTTCCACAAAACTGTTTTCAACATGGAATTTCTGAAGGATGATTCTGAAAGAACGTTTCTGAAGGATCATGTGACGCTGAAGACTGGAGTAATGATGCTGAAAATTCAGCTTTGCATCACAGGAATAAAATTACATTTTAAATAAAACAGAGAGTAAAAAAAATTCACAAAATTACTTTTTACTGAATTTGATCAAATATATGCAGCCTTGGTGAGTCTAAGAGACTTCCAAAACATAAAAAAAAATATTAATGGCCTTTAGGGGATAGTTCACCCAAAGATGAAAATTCTGTCATTAATTTCTCACCCTCATGTCGTTCCAAACCCGTAAGATGTTCGTTTATCTTCGGAACACAAATTAAGATATTTCTGACCCTGATTTCTGATAAGCTTTCTGACCCTGCATAGACAGCAACGCAACTGAAATGTTCAAGGCCCAGAAAGGTAGTAAGAACATTGTTAAAATAGTTCATGTGACATCAGTGGTTCAACCGTAACGTTACGAAGCTACAAGAATACTTTTTGTGCGCAAAGAAAACTAAAAAATTACTTTATTCAACAATTTCTTATCTTTCGTGTCAGTCTGGCAGTCATACAAGCTCTTAAGTAAGACAAAACCTGAGTTATTGAAGAGCTGTTAAATAACTGTAATCATCAGAATAGTTGAATAATTGTAATAATTGTTAGATAAGTCAATTATCAAAAGTATTGTTAGCTGTGACTGATGTTTCATTTGACTTTAAGTGAGACCCTCTTTATCATGGCATAAGAACCTGATAAAACCCCTAGACACAACTGGATGACGTTAATATACCTGTCAGGCAAACATCTCGCCCTTTAGCTGAAAGCATTTCTGGGCCAGACTTACCTGAGGTGTAATGTTCAGGTAGAGTGGAACTTAATTGAATAACTAAAGTTTGATTAAAACCGGTTATTTGAAGAGAATGGCTATCATTAGCTACTCAAACCATGCAATTACTCATTTACAGAGGTATTCAACGCATGAATGCCACAAATTCGGAGATGTGATTGAAATCACCGTTCTGAAAAGTCAGCGCTAGTAACAACCCTTTTCTTGGTGATTTATGTGAGCAAAAAGTGATGCCTTCTGCTCGGCTTGCTCAGCGCTCGCGTTTGGGCCCAGCTGCAGACCGCGACTCGCAGGCCTGCTGAATGATGGCACCCTTAGGGCCTACAACAGCAGCACACTCCATCGACTCCAGCTGGTGTTGCTAAGTACTGTCTTTGAGTTTGACGAAATTCGATTTTAAAATATATTCTAATAGAAAAGTTATTTTAAATTGTAATATTTCACAGTAATACTGTTTTACTGTATTGTAGTGAACTTATCCAATTCACAGCTACCAACTAAGAGTTTTACTTTAAAAAATGTAAAACATGATGTTGATATTTATTGGTGGCAAATGCAGTGCAAGTACACAAATGCACTGAAATACTTTAATAAGAAATAAATTGCTATTGTGTCTTTTTTTCATAAGATTCCGCTCTCACAATTTCTCTTGCACATCAACGCGTTTGACTGACAAGGCGCCATCGAAATAAAACACCCTGTGCACACAGGCATAACCTGTATAAATAACTCAGAGTGGTAGAAAGAATGTTGCCACATTATTTAGGGTGGGTATAAAACGGACAGTGTTTTTAGCATGTCTCTCTTATTTTTGGCTCTCACGAAAGACAAAAAGAGAAAACCAGACTAGACGAACATGCTATAATTTATGTCTTGAAAACTGAAGAGATGTCTGTCGAAAATAATAATTCAAAAAGGTACAAATTTCTTCTACTTTGCTTGCTGATTTGCGGAGGAGACAATTGGCTTCTTCCTAAAATAAGATACCAGATGCCAAGAGAGCGGCTTGCTGTTATTAGAGAGAGGGGAGGAATGTGTTTGCTTTCGGGACTGAATACAAAGCTGGAAGTAGCCTCTGTGGACACATGAACACTAGAGAGGCGGACTCAAACCCAAACATTGAGATTAGGAGGTGGGACCAGATGACTAGATGACAAGAGAGCCAACTTTCACTTTAACCGAGATGGAAGCAGAACATCAGTGAGGCTAGTGTGAGGGCTTTAAGTTCAGTTTTAAAAGTGGTTTACACCGTGTCTACTAGGGGTGTAAGAAAATATCGATACATGTGAGTATCGCAATATTTTGTTTGGCGATACGGTATCGATTCTCAAAAACGGAATATCGATATTTAAAAAAAAAAAATCATACAAGATTCATGGCAGTTGTTTCGTTTTGAGTTTATATCCTGACCGCTAGATGGCTCATCTCTGAACTTAAACAGTTACAGGAAATACTAGCATTAGGGCACGCCACTAGAATTGTTCCAGGTCCCTTTTCGTCATTTGGGCTTTTAACGTCACCTCAGTTCCGCCGCTTGCCGAGTCCCAACAGAGCCTTCGCGCTGGGCACGGCGGGCGGTAGGGTCACCACGCGGCTGCAGCTTTCTCTCGTGGTGGGGGCGTTTTGTGCAGTTGGGCCGGTGCGGTTGGTCTCGGCGATTCCACACGGAACATAAATACAAACTGAAAAACCTGTGAAATCCAAGTGGAATGGTTCTGAGAATGTTTAACATCTGTATTTATTTTATTGTTTTTAAATTGTTTTGTTTTCTTTAGAAATCCTGCAAGCACTTTATTTTTCATTGATATTAAGCAGATGTAATTATTTTGTTCAGATCAAAATGTTATGACATTGTATGTTACTCTATGGTCTTTTTATAAAATACATATTATACATTTAACTAAAGGATCCTG